CGATGAGAAAATAGTCGTTTACGTTCCATAACTTGGATTATAATGATGAGATGCATCGGAGCAGAGAAAGCGGAGAAAAGGTGAGGAGATGCTGGACTTGTAATCAAATTGTGTAGATTTAAGTCAAAACTTGTGAATGTGTGAGGAGACAAAGGGACACACTGTGGCTCAGGCTACTTTTTCCTCAACAAGAGCGTAAATCCTTGTCAACACCATACACTCTTGACTGGTTGCGGACCAAAGAAGAGATCGCAATCTAGCGATCTTTTGATTTTTGGCACAACCCTACTTGAAAATCAAACAAAACATTTCACAGTGTGTGTAAAATCAGGCCTAAAAAAATAAGGTGCTCACAAATTTTACATAGATTCCTGCTGTTACGTTAAGTTTCTATATTGAAAATGACAGCGTTTGGGCCAATGTCTTTTACCATGTTAGAACAAGCCTGGGGTGTTGACTGACTTTACTGATGATGCATGACGGTGAATGAAAGCTGTGTCCACCGTCAGTTCATAAAAAGCATCACACGTGGAGCCCATTTTCACAGATTTTCACTGGCCTTCTCAAGAGTCACCAGGAGCGCACCTGAATTAGCTTTGGTTAGATAGACACAGGCTTATTTCTGTCATGGAAAGTTGACACTTAAACTGGAGATGGTGCAAGTTTCAGCTCAGGATTTCATTTTCAATTGCAAATTAGCTCTTAAAAAAATCTTAAACAGAACTGAAGTCTTTCTAAAGAAAATGTAATCTCAGCAAAATGCAGCTTTTATTCAAAACTGATCGATCATCTCTCAAAGTTTAACCATCAAAATGTTCAAACTCTTGTCATGTGTTTTTCTGTGTCTTTCATTCATGTGACAGAGTGGCTCAGAATTTTAAGTCCTCCTCTCGGGGACCACAAAGAATCAGTGATTTATGGCCCTGTCACACCTTGACGATTTAACTAGCGTATGCCAGAATTTCCCTAAAACTATTTTGGATGTATACATAGCATATTCATAACAAGTTGGTTGTATACATAACGTATTAGTAGTAGAATAGTATTAGTAATCGTATTAGTAGAATGTTTTAATAACTTATATATAACTTATACCAACTAATGCTTAGGGTGTTGCTGGCGTCCACAACTTATGCCCAACGACTAAGATGGGCATAAGTCTGAGTTGAGTCTAACTTATGCACAGCACACGGCAGCGTATCGCCGCGCTCACGTGTTGTTGTCTATAAAAAGGCTGTCACTCAACGATTCATAACTGCACTAGACATCGCAGAATCAGCGTGATCTTTTCTTCTCCTGTTTCTGTTGGCATAATTGGTACAGAGACAAATCGATGAGCTCATGCTGATGTTGGAGGAGCTAGTATGTGTTCTTGTCTCAGCCTTGCCAGATCCTCCAGGTCTGCTCTCCCTGAAGTCTGGAGGAGTACTGACGGTGATGGTTTTCCTACACGCTGCCAGTACCCCATTATACGGTAGCTACAAGTTAGAAACACATTCTGTAAGTTCTGTGGTCTTTGAAACATGTCAAATACGTCTGCATATATGTGTTGGAGGTAAGCTCAAAATTTTTGGACAACCTTGCTGTATGTCAGCGTATGCCAGCATGCTTCAGTGTGCTCAGAACTTACCTATAACTTATCTGACGTATGTCAGCGTATTTGCCACATTTTTCATACTTTAGCATACGCTGGCTAAATCATCAAGGTGTGACAGCCCCTTTAGTACAGTCGGCCGCTGGCGTTCACTGCAGGCACGGTGTTATGGGTGGGCCAACAGTCCTAGGACCACCCAAACAGACCCACCCAAAACTTTTCTTTCTTCCTTTTCTCAGTGACAGATGGATGTATACATCACTTGTTCTGAGAGTCTTCTTAAAGTGTTTGACACATGTCAAATGAGGATGTTTTCCCGAATGTGCATGCTTTGTTAAAAGCTCTGATAACACAATGATTTGCAAATTAGTTAATGAATATTGTTCTCTCCTCCTTTCCAAGCTTATATATTTTCATGTTTGGAAATATTTTAAGTCTGCTGCCCGTTAGTGCAATGAATGTCATTCAGGGTGCACTCACACTAGGACTTTAATACTTTAATACCGTGCCCAAGCACGGTGCCTAAAGCGCTACGTTTGTGGATTTTTATTTTATTTTTTTTTACAGTGCAGCAAATGTTGATATTTCTGCATAATATTTGCAGGCCATTAATAAGTAGCAGAGCTAGTAGACGAGCTAGCTAGTATTGTGTCTCTTGTAGTTGCCTAGGCTATTTGAATGCATTTTCTTGGTATACGTTGCTAATGATACTGACATATTGTTGAAAGCTTCGATCAATTAAACAGAATTATCAAATTGTTGGCCTTATGTTATATGAGCAGATCTAAACTATGTGGGAAATATTAAATCACTTTTACAGTCAGTACAGGCGCTAAAGCACAGCCAGGTATGGCGCATAATAGAGATTCCAAAGTGCTCTTCTTTGGTCAGAACTAAGGAGAGCAATTGCAAATATTTCCATTCTACACACCTAAGGTTTTTACAATGCAACATATAAATATTTAAATGAGAATGAAGCTATTAAAATCTATTGTCTGAAACCTGTCTGTATTGTATTATGTAAAATATAAAAGTACATTAAAACATTTTATAATACATTTTGCAGTATTTGATCAAAAGTATTTATGCTGAAACATGTTGAAATAGAGAATACATCATTACTACTGTTGTACTTTAATATGTAAAGCGTTGAAGCTCAAAATAAAAAAAGAACTGTACATATGTAAAAATCTGTATGTAGTTTATACGTGTACTCAGTGTCTGTATTCGCTCCCTGTTATATACAAATACAACTTTGTTTAGTTCAATGATTTGGATCAAAGTAAAAGAAAGTATTTATTTATTTATTTTATATTATGTTGTTATTCACTAATATTTAATCTTCTCTGAAGCTCCACAGATAGTTGTAATAAAGTAAATGCTCAAAATGACAACATTATTAAAGCAGCTGACTTATTTATTTAATATTGCTATATTTAACAGTGGTTTATAAATGAACATATTACAACTGCACAATGAAGCTAGCATTATGTACTGTATTATTTTCTACTAGTAAACACATCTGAAAACATCCATCAAGGATTTTAGTTCTCATTCACACAATAAATAAAGAATAATAAATACTGTGACAAATTTACATGTACATACACATTATTAAATCATTTGGATTATAGAAGGACAAGCGCAGTAAGAGCTATTGTGACAGAAAAGAGACTCATTTTGTTGATTGGTGCTGCTGCTGTTGTCTGGCCGCCTCCACTGCCCGTCGCTGTTGTTGTTGTGGTTGTTGTTGAGGCTCCATTGTTTGTTCCATCTGCACTTGCAGATGCTATCGACAGCAGAGCTGCTTCAGCTGCTGAAGTGGTCGCTGAAGCAGCCAGGGCTGCTGAATATGCTGTTGAAGATAGTGTATCCGCCATATTTGCAATGTTTCCATTTGTTAAGCCTGTCAGTGCAGTCTCTGACACAGTTTCAGCTGCTACTCCTGTGGCTTGGGCCATTTGAGCCACAGCCTTGATCTCTTGAAGAATGGCTTGATCTCTTGAATTTGAGGCTGGTGTACTTGATATAATGTCCTGGAGTTGTGCAGCTCCTTGAATTGATGCTGTAGACACAGATCGCGCTGCATCAGCAGAATTTGTCAGTGTCTCCCTTGTTGGGGAATTTGCTGCTGCTTTTGCTGCAGCTTCAGCAGCTGTGTTAGCCGCTTGGGCACTGGTGTAAGCTATGGCTGCTTTTTCTGCTACTTGCCGTGATTGGGAAGGAGGTAATGTGTCGGCCGCTCTTAAGGCAGCACTTGCAGCTTCTTGAGCTGCATTCGATGCAACTCTTGCTGCATCCACAGCCATGTTTAAAGGAGCTAATCCAAGAGCCACGAGTTCAGCGGCTCTGGCTGCAGCCTTGGCTGCTGCTGCAGCTGCTTCTGCTGCCGGTCGAGCACTTGGTCCTACAGATGCTGCTGCTGCTGCGGTTGTAGCTGCTGCTGCCGCTGCTGCTGCTGTGGATGCAACCACTGCACCTTCCTGAGCTTTTGCCAAGGCTATTTGTGTGCCTCCATTAGGGTCATCAGTTGTTGGTGTAGATGTACCCGTGTTGCCATTATCTGACGTTCTTGGTAATGCTTGATAAGAAGCCCTCGCTGCAGCCTGAGCTGCTCTGGCAGCAGATTTCGCGGTTGGCGTAATTAGCTCAGTTGAGTTTGCTACTACAGCATTAGCTGCAGTTTCTGAAGCAATGGCTGTTGCTTCTGTCATATCTGCCACACTTTGTGCAACTTGTTTTATTCTTTGTATTTCAGCATCCTGATTTTGAGTGGATCCTGCCAGTACCTCCAGTGTAGTAGCTGCAGCTTCTCCCACTGTTTTGGCTGCATTTGCAGTTTCAATCACCTCTTCTAGTGTTGCAGAATTTACACTTGCTCTTGCTGCTGCTTCTGCTGCCCTCCTGGCTGATAGTGCTGCTAGATCTGCTGCCTCAATTAACTTTGTTCCTTCCGATGTAGTGACAGATACTCGTGCAGCTTTCACAACCCTGTCTGCAGCATCAGCTGCATTTCTGGCAGCTATCGCAGCCACTGTCAAAGGTTGAGTTCCATTTGCCACAGCTGAGGCTGCGTCAGCTGCAACTTGAGCTGCGGTCACGGCCGCTAATACTTCCTGACGTGGTGCTCCTGCTGCTGAAGCTGTGGCTGCTGCTAATGCAGTGGCTGCAGCCGCTGCTGCGGTAGATGTTGATACTGCTGATCGATCTGTTGTTGTTACAGGTGCTGGAGTTGTGGGTGTTGGTGTGGGATCAGTAATGTTCCACCGTGGAAGTGCAATTTCTGCTGCAATTGCACTGGCCTCTGCAGCTGTAGCTGCTGCTTTTGCAGACTCTAACATGATGCCAGCTGTGTCTGTTTGTGTGACACCTGTTGCAGCTCTAGCTGCCAGCGCGGTTGCTTCACTCATTTGTGCCACTGTTTGTGTTGCTGAGATGGAAAGCTCTGTTGCACGTGCTCCATCTGTAGCTGGCAGAGAACTTAATATTCTACCCAAAGAATCGGCTGCCTCTGCAGACCTTTGCGCGACCTGTGTCTCTGCATCAGCTGCTCCATTAATTGCTTCATCTG